TTGTGTTACGTGTGTTTGGCATGTGGTTTTCATAACATATATTGTAGGTGTCTGGTTTTTTTCGTTATACCATATTTTCATGATGTATTTTAAATGCTCAGTTATTGTAAGTAAATGTGGCCCATGTATAAATGTAGTACTTCTGAGTATATTATTTACTATATTTGTATTTGTATCATAGGACAAACTACAGTTGATAATATTCCTCTAGATGGAGTCGATGTTGATAGAATTTCTAATATTTCTTCTTGAACTAAATGCAATGGATTTACAGAAACTGACAATAATGGGCTATTTAATTGATCTATATTAGAGTGTGTCTTTTTAGCTGTTGAACACTCTTTGGATGAAACCACGCCAGGATCTAATACAATGTCTTTTCGCTCTGTATGGATTTAATCTGTTTAATAATGCATCAAATTTGTCCACCATATTTAAACTTGAAATCACTATAAAATTAAACATAATTAATTCATACTAGTCTATAAAAATTTAAACTCAGTGACAAAAAAAAAAAAAATGTGTTTTTAAAAAGGTAATCAATAACAAACACTTARTTTTACAATATCATTATAACATAATTAAAATATTTCCAATTAAAAGGAAACTATAATAATTTAAGTTATATTATGATACATTAAATTATATTATAAATCAAGTTAAACTTTAATTATAAATATTTTGTAGTTTATAGAATTGAAATATAATAAATTAACTAGAAAGCTTGTATTTTTCTTGATTTACTATGTTTTAACTAGCGATAAAAATAAATATTTAATTTAATAGATATGAAAATATTTTTTAAACAAAAATTAATTGATTTGCATGAAATCTTAAATTAAATTTAAAAAAATATATTAATGACAACTACTACAGTATTAGTATGATAGTTTAATTTTTAGTAACTGAGTTTGCTATTTTTATAAAATACTTCAATAGATAATAGGTACCTATATGAAACATAGATGTGTATAAAATATTTTGGAAAATTTCAATATCAAATATTTTACCTTAGTAAAATATTACATTATGACTATTACAAAGCATTTAAAATATATTATCAATTAATATTCTGAAAAATCATTTATTATAAAAATGTAATGAAACTCAAAAATAAATCTAAAAACACTTTACTACATTTATAAATTGTCATACTTATTTAAATTTTGATTTGTGTTTAGAACAAACTCAAAGTAATTATTTGCAATAGAATTCTGACATCTTATTGCATATCTTTTAGTTTCTATTTGACATTTCCATTTAATTTTTTAAAAACTTACCTGAATACATATTTGAAATTGTAGATGCCTCTGCAATTGTGATCTTATGACCCTATTAAATAAAAATTGAAAAAAAAATCATATTATTTGCCATATAATAATATAATAATTATAATAATGATTTATATTACAAATTAAGTTCTAGTGACTAAATTAATTTCATAAATTTGATTGGAATTCAATATCAAAGAACATCATAATAATAATTGTTTAATAATTTAATTTAAAAAGGATTCTGGTAATATTATATTAATTTTATATTTATATTATTGTTGTTTGCCTTGATTAAGTTGATCAATCATTAATAACCTAATATGTACAGTGACAAGAACTACAATTGTTTTATATTATTATTTATTTTAATGTTTTGGTAAAAAAGTTAAAAAATATATTTTTATATTTAATTATTTCCAAAAAAATTAAAGATAGCCAGTTTGTAGAGTTTATTTTTCTGTAAATGTTGACCCGTTAAATACCTAGTTCTTTCCACAAACCAATGTCTGGTGGTCTCATATCACTAACAGTTCCTACGGTCTTAAACTTAAATCCTACCACATGTAATTCAGATGTTACATAAAATAATATGTTTTAGTGTTTAAGTCATTAGAATGTAAAAATCATAAAAATGGGGTTTTTCCATTGAGGTATAAGCCTTTAATGTAAAAAATAAACAAAAATATTAGATATCATGTGCATATAACTACTAAAGTACTAACCTCTTGTCATTGCTGTTTGGACAGTTTTATGTAGCCCAATTATTTGCTTATTCTGTGTGTCAAAAATGAGAAATTTATGTTTAATCAAAAGATAAAATTGTTATTTTTTCATTATGGTCCACAGTTTGACCTTCCAAAAATAAACAATTTGTTTTCATTTATTTCATACAATATGCTTAATTAAAAATATGTTTTAAATTATTAACCTTTAATTCTCAAAAGTTCTTAAACACCATACAATAATCTATGATTCATTGGAAAATTAACGGCCCATGATTGTAAAATCTAAAGGCCTACAATGGTACACTTAGATGAAGTTAATTACAAATATCTTTTCATACCAAGCAATGGAAATTCTCTTTTCAACAAATATCAATATGCTTTTTGTAAAACAGACCTTAATGATATTACAGAAGAAATATCCTCTTCAGTCCACTTTATTTTTATTTTAAATAATATTAAGCTTATTTGAGTGGGTTTATATAATTTGGATAATTTTTCGGCAAATCTGTTAACAAAGATTTCCGCTTAGATATTTGTGTCATTGGAATTTTTTATTGATTGTTGTTAAAAAAAATTACATTTTTAATTTTAAATTTTCTTTTGTGGAGCATTCAAGTAGAAGTTCCAATATAAAAATTATGAATAATTTATTAAATTATTAATATTAAATTATTTTTAGCTATTAATACTATAAATAGTTCCAATTTTCGATGAATTATAATTAAAAAATGAATAATTGAATATTTCACATAAAATATCCAATTAATTTATAAAACATTATTTTAATATTAAAATAGTAATATTATGGTACCTACTCTCTTAGTTTGAGTTACTATCCAGGCTGGCACAGAATGAATCATATTAAGTTATATTGGTAAAGTATTATCAGTACCACAGATTATATTTTAATCATTTCATAATTTTGGTACATAATATGTTCTCTAAGATTCAAAGGTTATTAAGTTTTGGCAATATTTTTTTTTTTTTTTGTGTGTCTTAAATTATGTAAAATTTTACACCAAAACTGTATGTAATATGTCTTCAGAAAAGCAAAAAACATCTATTTTAATTTTTTTCAAATGTATAAAAACAAAATGAAAGTAAATATATTTACTAAATGTATTTTATAATTACTTAACGTTAAAACATTTTTAATTGCTTATTAGATGATTATGGGTTTTGKTTTTTATCAAATGAAAGAAAAATATTAAAAATTTCAATAATTTAATTATATTTAAGTTTTAAATGAATACTTTTATAAGCATGGTAATAGAGCAAATCCTAGCATAAGTGATCCTGAAAATCTAATATCAGATAAAAGTATGTCAAAATGCCTTAATATTAGATAATTAGAAACCAGAAAAATGTATTAAAATATTTAAGTTATGTTCTAAATGAATACATTTTTGAGCTTTTTCATTATAGAGAAAATTCTAGTACAAGTGATATACATGATCTGAAACTAAAACAAATTATGTCAAAACAACCAAATATTGTTAGAATAACAAAAAAATACAGTAATAATTGTTAGTGTTTAAAAGATAAATACTTGTGTTTTATGTTTGTTTCTGTTCAATCTTGTTCATAGTTATAATTGAAGATATATTTAATAAGTGAATGAGACTCAATGGCCTTTGATTGGTTATTTATAAGTAAAATGTTCTTAGATTTTATGTAAAACTTTAACTTGTAAAAACAATTGGTGGGTATCATTATGAATAGTTTATTAGTTTTAAAAATAAAATTACTAATCATCCATGTTACATATCATGTTTTGTCTTATATATTAGTCTGAGTTATTTAATATTTTTATTTCATACTTCGTGAACCTAAATTATTTATGTTTAATGCTCTACGGTAAATGAATTCAACAAAAATCAATAATGTATGATAAGACATTTTTCAATGTTGAGTTTCATCAAAACAAAACTTTAAAGCACAATGCTTTAAAACTGTTTTGAAGCATTTTTAGCAATAAATATTGAATAGGAATTTGCCTACAATATTAATATATATGAAGTGATTGAAACTTTTAAAATACTAAAACCATTAGATAGGCGTATAGAATTTAAAAAATAATTTTTTAACACACTATTTAAATGTACATATTTTTTGTAATTCATAGGAATCCTTTTTATTTTCTACTTTGTAGTGAAAAATAAATTATATATACGTTTTACTAATCTAAAAGAGTTGTAATTACCTTAAGAAAAACAGATTAAGAGGATGTCGCACCCGCATGTGTTGTCTCCGTCTTACACACGTACGACATAGGAAATGTTCGTTTGCTAGTTTTAATAGGGTATTGTTAGATTTGATATTAGAGTGAATCCACCTATTATCAAACTTTTAGATAGCAACATTATCTGTGTTCTCTCGTTAGTTTTTTACAATATTTTAATTTTTAAGTGAGGGTATGTAAATTATGAATATTATAAATGTTCATAACTCACTTAAATATTAAAATATTGTAAAAAACCAACGAGAGAACACAGATAATGTTGCTACCTAAAAGTTTGATAATAGGTGGATTCACTCTAATATCAAAACTGACAATACCCTATTGAAACTAGCAAACAATAATTTTCTAGGTCATACATGTGTAAGACGGAGACAACACAATATGCGGGTTAGACGTCCTCTTAAGAAATAATTCATTAACAAAGCTATCTTAATTTATTTAAATTCTAAATTACAATAAATATCATTGGGTTCTAACATATTATCTAAAATTATAAAGTCAATTTAACAGCTAAATAAATTATGTATAAAAATGTTTATAATTTGAGTTTATAATCCATATGAGCTCAGAATAATTAATTCTGAAGTGATTTTATTAATATTAATGCAGGTAATTAGTTAAATTATAAAATCCACTTAAAATTAACTTATAATTTATACTTAGAAACTAAGAAATTTGAAAAATATTAAACTACCTATTTTAAAGAAAAAATAAATTAAAATTTTGAATAATTTATGAAAGATGTGTAGGTAATATGTATTATGGAGCTGGCATTTTCATCTTTTTGTCTTCATCTTTTTTGTCATCAATCTCAATCATTGAAGATGAAGGTAGAGGTTCAACATCTGTATTGCTCACTTTCATCTATAACAAATATTAAAAATAACAGAATTTTTGTGAATGAAACAGAAGTACGATTATAAAAAAACAAAAACTAATGAATTGAGATAACAGTAATTTGATAAAACTATTGAAATTATCAATTTACCAATAGTAAAAATGAATTTTTTCAAATTATCAGTTAAGRAAATATTGAATAAAATAAATATAGAATGAAACATTGAAGCAATATTGGTTAGTTTCATAGGTCATCAACACCACAACATAGAACTAAAATTAATTTTTATTAGATTTTTAATAATTGTAAAATAAAAACAAAAGAAATCAATTAATAATAACAAAAAAAAAAGATAAAACCACTGCTATACAGATTTGTGATGAATAGCCATCAAAAAGAATTTATATACTCGTAAATTAATTCTTACCGAATTCAAGAGAGTATTTATTTATTTATTACTAATATACGGGTTACTATTTTAACATCAAAGTAACAATACAATAACAACGAWTTTAATAGTAGAATATTCTAAATAAATAATATATATATTCCAATAACAAAATGAACAATATTATAACAATATAACATTAAAACAAATCATCGCCAAATGAGAGGTACTCATTAACGAGTAACATTATATGTCTTATGTAATAAATATAAGCTCATTTAATAAATAATTTATGTTGACTTTAGGAATTTGGAAGGTATATAGAAAACAAGATTATGCGAAGGGGCTTTAATATTTATTCAAGATAACATAATATGAAGAATCAATTTTTCTGTATTCAGCAAGAGTCAGGCAGGTTAAGAACATTGTGATTCCGTTCTGCAATGAGCACACCTCCTCTAAAAGTACAATTGCTAGTTAGAGAAATCTATCACTTTGTAAAAACATATAATTGTATAAGCCAAGTTCATTACCAAAAAAAAGAATTGCAAAATTTAGGATTTCAATTAATATAGGAAAATTGTGAAGATATTGTAATACAATGAAATGAATATGGCAAAGTCTAGGAAATTGTGACAAAAATGATCTAAAAATTTTTAAATACCAAGTATAAAATGAATTATTTACATTTAGTTTTAATATAATATGATCATATATTTATGAAAAGTAGGTATCTATATAAAATGTATAATCCCTATTATATAACAGTCTCATATTAATGAATAATGATCAATACGGTATATTAATAAAAAAAATCAAGACAATATTCAAAATAAATGAAAACAGCTATAAACAAATTGAATAATATTTAGAATCAATGTTAGATTTATATGTACATGAAAAACAAAGTATGTAAGAAAGTTACGATCTACTATACAGTAGGTAACAAGTGGATCACTGTAATGTATGGTGTTTAATCTGAATTTATAGATATTATATCATTGTTGATATAAAACAATTCTGAGCAAAGGCGGTTTGTCAACTTTTGATATTTTATATTATGATAATATTGTTATTACTACTACTGTAGCTAGTAGATTAAATTAATATTATTTGCATATTATCATATTTGTAAACAATTAAGTACTTTAAATGTTTCAAGAACAAACCCACAAATATTATTTTAAAATTACAATTTAACTAAAATTGTTATTTTTGGTTAATTGATTAATAATTAATCAAATATGAAATATGATAATCAAATATGAACTTTAAAAAAATATATGAAAAACTGTGTTTAATTTAATTTTTTAATCAAAAAAAAATGAATCATTTACTACCTTTTTTTACATTTTTAATCCTAAGCTATACAATTTTAATGTTTTATACAATTTTAAGTACTAAATAATTTGTAAATTTTATCAAAATTTGAAATTTAAATTCCTTTGATGAAATAAAAATCAAGCATATTATGTAATTTTAATATTTTTCAATTGCTGTTGTAACAATTTATCTGGAATTTGGTCTTAAATTTTCAACTTTATTAACAAAATAAATACAATTTTTTATAAAAAAAAAAGACTAAAAATTTATAACTTAAATGACGATTAATATTTTAATCTAACTTTTTTGTAGACGAATAAAGCATAAAAATTTAAAAATAAATCTGTGTAACATTAAAAATGTATTAAGAATTGAATATAAAATCTAGAAAATGTATAATAATTATACTAAATTGATACCTAATTTTAATATTTAAAATCAATTAATATTATACACAGTAAAACTCAATTTACCAGATAATATCTCGGAAAAAATATAGATATTAAATTATACCTATATGTGTCTATAACACTTTTGGTGGTTCAAAGACTAAATTATATATAGGTTTCACTGTGTYATGTAATATTCTAAAAATATAAATATCAGTGTAAAAATGTATTATACACAAGATATAAAATTGATTGTATTTTTTTATATAACCTAAATGATTTTTAATTATAATTTAATTAAACTAGATTTTAAGTTTTAGAAAATTTTAGTTATCAAAAAACATTACTTAATAAATGCATCTATATTCAATTAAACGATACATGGTTAAATCTTACCGTTTCTTCATAATCATTGAAAGTTGTAAGTATAGCTCTAGGATTGTTGGGATTATTAGCTTTCAGAAATTCATCGCAGACCTTCATTATATTTAGTGCATCTGTAGTTGTAAGCATGTTATTTTTTTGCAATTCATTATATTTTGAACAAATATTTTTTATGTAAGTATTCATGCCCATTTGTAACATGTCTCTAAATAAAAAATTTGATAAATTAAGTCAGTTATTTCTATACAGTATTATAACCAAAATATTATGATGTAATATACAATCTAATAGCACTGCGTTCTCCATAAAAGCCATTAGATTTTATGGAACATATGTCACAATTATCAATGCACTCCATTTTGTCATCTCCAAAATATTCAGAAAGAAATCTGTGTCTACACCTATATTTTAATACACAAATATTAAATAAATAGTAACATTATGTACAATTTATAAGTATACCAATATTATACATGGGCGGATAGGCCATTTTTAGCCTACCAGAAAATTTTATAAAGGGGCCCCCACATGAAAAAAAATTTAATAATACATGATATTAAAGAGCCCCATTACCGAAATACAAAGGTGGGTCCATCAGGAAATGCCCGGTAGCCCGGTAGGCCTATCCGCCCATGATATTATAAATATAATATTAAATAATATCATACTTTAAACCTTCACAAAAATCTTTCATATATCGAGAATGAAGAAACACAAGAAAACTTTTTGCTGCATTTTGAGCTTGTTCAATTGAATCAACTGAATTGACTGCAGCAGCCAACATAGATTCATTTTTTGAATTATAGTATGATGTTGCTCGCCTTGTTAAGTAAATTCGACATCGTGCTGGGTTACCGTCCTTTCCAGCTTGACCTGATTCATAATAATATGCAGAAATACTAGACGGCAAACCCCAATGTACTACTAATTTTATATTTGCTCTATTAATTTCCATTCCAGAAACGCTAGTTACAGTAAGAAATTGATAATGTCCTTTCATAAACGAGTCTTTAACAGCATTACGATCAACTTCCTCTAGTCCTGTTTAAAATAAAAATAGTTTGTAGAATATTTGAATTAAATGAAACATATTAAATGTAAAGGTATTTACCAGCATGATAAGCAGCAATTGAAATACCATTTTGTTTTAGATCTTTGGCTAATTTTTCAGTAACCTCTCGCGTCTTACAAAATATTAATCCAGAAGGTTTTTCTGAGTCTGGCTAAAATGAACATGTTAGTATTAGCAAATGTGAATTGTAAAAATAAAATGCTTACTCCAGGATTTGCATTTTCTACAGTTGAATAATTTTCAATGAAGATCTTTAAATGAGTAACTGAAACTCCATTAATATCATCTTGTACTACATCATAAAATAGATTCGGTCTATAGCTCGGAATCGAAAATCTTATAGAAGTCTTAGGATCATCTTTAATGTATAAAACCCTCCTCAAAAAATCAATTACCTAGTTATAACATATTATAATATGTTATTTAAAAATAAAATGAACAGGTTACATTAAAAATATTTAATATTTCAACATCTACATCAACGCCAGCTGTTGCTGTTGCCACAACCCATGGTATATCCTTATATTTTTTTCTTAACATGCCCAGTGTTTGATACTCATAATTCTTTTGACCATAAATCCATTGGTTTTCAGAGTGAGTTTCATCGASGACAATATATGATAGATTGTTAGTTTGTACTAAGTGAGACAATAATTGCTGAAAATAAAATACAATTAATTATTATTATTATTATTTATTTAATATAGTGTTATATTGACTGACTTTGAAGGCCGGAGTTGAAGCTTGATCAGTAGTCACATAAAGAAAGTGGCTTTTTCTAAATTCAGATTGTAAATCACCATAAATACGCATTTTTTCACTGTCAGATGTTAATGTAGAAATAACTTCAGTGTGAATTCCCAAATTCCTCAAGGTATTAACTTGGTCCTACAAAAACAATAGGTACTCATTACCTACTTATATACTAACATATTTAATACAATAGATTGTTGTCATGAAATCAACTTTTACCATTATTCGTGCAACGAGAGGAATAATCACTACAGTCATTTTCTTCAAATATATTAAAGAGGGCAATTGATAGCATATTGTCCTGCCATAACCACTCGGAAACGACACGATAACATCAATATTTCCTTCAAACACCAATTAATACACACCATTTTAAAAAACCATAAATGAAATAGGTACCTAAATTGTGTAGACCAATCACAAAATACATTTTACTACTGTACTTACTTTTCAATATTTTTAAGATAGCATCCTTCTGCATTTCGTTCTTAAATTCTGAATGATGAAAATAATTACGCAAGTATTTTAACAGTGATTCGATGTCCATATTGTTCATGTCAATAATGTTCCAACGCCTAGTGGGTAACAATTTTTTAGTAATAAATTATAATAATATACATCATTGTCTATATAGACAATGATCTATATTGTACAATCGTTGTTAGACCGTCCAATATTTTATATCATTACAATGTAACTGAGTATTTGTGTAAAGGAAAGGTATTCAAAAAATCAAAATAAGCAAATCTCCTACAACAGTTCAGCAATCGATATTCAATATCAATATGAAAGACTGACAACTAACCTTACTAATACTAAATTACTAACCCTGAACCCTCAGCTCTGTTTAACTTTTAACTATTGATCGAAGCGCTCATGTAAGGCATAACAATGGCAGGTCATGGTGTAAGGGTACTAAGGTGTAACTTTGGTAATGATAGTGGTGATAAGTTAATATTTTTTTTATATATATATAGTAGTAGCATACGTAAACCATACAGTGTATACCATTGACGAAGCGGGGAGCGTGTATGACCGGCGGAGTTGAGTAGTGGAGTGACGGAAAATTGCGTTACCAGTGATGCCATCACAAGTACCATGAATAATATTGTTCACATATTATATTTTTCATTCGACATAATATTTGTCTTACAATATTTCAACCTTGACCAAATACAATATCATTAACGACCATGTTTTGTCATGATTTCACCCATAATCCTTATATTATTAGGCACCCGGGAATAGGGCCACAATTCGCCTTTTTCTCCAAAGGTAGACGATAATTGGGCCACTAAAATTTTATATTTGTTACAGGTGGCCCGGTAATTAGGCCACTTTTTATTACTACATTTATTTTTTGACTAACTTTATGGACCTTGTTGTATATTAAATTAGTTAAATCTGTATGGAAATATGTAAAAAAAATATTAATTATTTGACATATTGTATTTTTATTTATTAAGTAAAAATAATTATAGTTAATATAAACGTTATAATTTTATTCATATTAATAGTATATTTGTGTGCTATACTTTTATGGCCTAATCTCCGGGTACATTTTAAAAATATAGATTTAATTTGTGGCCCAATCTGGGTAGTAAAATGTAAATAAATATTTTATATGAAACAGGTAGTTAAAATGTGGCCCAATTCACAAAAAAAAGCCCCTCATAAGGATTTCTGTTTGTTAAAAGAAAAATATACCAATAAAAAAATACCCGATGAAAGCATTTTGCGTAAAAATTACGTGAATGATATTTGTGTAAAAATTATGAGCAAAATCAGTTCTAATATATTTCTGGACTCAAAATATGGGGTTTAGTGGATAAATCAACCGACGTTCAAGGTATGTACATCGCCAACGTCATTAAAGGTGCATATAGGAAGCATTGGCGTATTTACAGGGGGGGGGGACCCTCCCCTCTTGGCTCCATAAATACGTATCTAAACGTCTAATATATTATTATATTCTGTGCTAAGTGCAAATATATGTTGTATCTTTTTTTTTTTCCAT